TTTAAATAATATATACATATATTAATATAAAAATACACTTAGAGTAAATATATAATACTTGTGTATGGGGCCATTTCAGTATAGTATGAGATAGCTAGTGAGTATACTTATCACAATAATAAAAGTCGGTAGAGGTGTGCCGAAACCGACGTGTGTGGTAGGCCTGTAAATAAGTGGGCCTACCTTGAATAGTATTGAATAGAGGGAGAGGAGGGTGGGCCAAAAGTACCTCTGGACCAGTGGGTAAGTTAGGTAGGAGGGGGAGTCCCTTATAAAGGGACATAGCCCCTCCCACAACTTCAGGCCCTGCCTTCCAATTTGTGTTCGGGGCCATTTCAGTAAAGTATGAAATAGCTAGTGAGTATACTTATCACAATAATACAAAAAGTTGGTAGAGGTGTGCCCAAACGAACGTGTGTTGTTGGCCTGTAAATAAGTGGGCAAAAAGGAATACCCATATAACTATGTGAATTCCTGCTGTGACTTAGCAACTCACCTATTCCAAAGGTATTCTTGAAGCTGGGGTGCAATCCTGGCTATTGGTGAGGTAGTTGTTAGGGAACTCCTGAACCTGAAGACTAGATAACTGGTCATCAGCTGTAATGTAAATGCCATGTACGTGGTAACATACCAGATAGAAATTGGTGACATGCTTCCCCTACGTTAGTCGTCTGATTTCATAATAAGGGATACCAGACTGGACTTGATTATGACGTGGCCAATTGACAAATTGTCAGAGACCTCGAACCAGTCTGCTTGCCCATAACTGACCCCATGTTGCTGCTGTGGCTACGATGGATAGGTGTGCATAGTTCTTTAAGGAACCTTTTAATCTGCTTACTTCCCCGGCCACCTAACCCCATAGCCAACTGTCCCCTGAGGTTGCAGCAAGCCCTGTGTAAGCCCTGCATCGGGGTGACTAAATGTGTAGATGTCCCTAGTTAAAGACATATATATATATATATGTATAGGGAAGAGACACCTAAATATATTGTGCCTGGTGAGTTCTCGCTGGGCGTCCTTCCTTTAGAAGAACCTGAAATATGTATGAAGTATGTGGGACATTTCTAGTTTAACAGCGGGAACTAATATTGGAGATAACGTAAGTGTCTGTGACTGTAGTTGTAAATACAGAGAAAGGGTCGTATAGAGAGGATTTGAGTGGTCTAACGTGACCATGGTCGTAAGTAATTGGCCCCTGTGGTGAGCATTGAGTCCTAGTGGATTGTTCGCAGTGGGTCGTATGTAACGTGGTAACTTGTACCTTGGTTGCCCGAGCAGTCAATTTGCCAGGAAAGCGGGTAGGACAGTATAATATGATGTATATGAACTGGTCTAATACGCAGCAGTGATGTGGGACTACTCCAGTCTGGAATTGACTATGTAAGTACAATGGCGGCTGGGTAGTAAGGACCCCGGGAAACTTAAATGACCCACATAACTCAGGATGAAAAATAATGTATGTGGCATGTTGCCTGCATCGTGAATTGACAATATGCTAGACTGAAGTAGTACAATGAGAGGTAAGGAGAACGTCTGTTATGAGGGAATTATTACCTTCTGTACGTTTGGCCAGGAGTAGTCCGTGTAGCCAGGGTCATGAGGAGAGCTACTGTGTGGCCGTATGTGGACAGTGCCAGATATAGCAGAAGTATAATACTATAAGACGTGTTGATTTACAGGTAGAAAGGGGGGGTAAGAAAGGATATAGACAGTCGGTATGGGTCAGAGAAGGTGTAGGTCAGAGATGGTTGGAAAAAATATGGGTAGTGGATAATCAGAGAAGTTATGGATCAGAGATGAACAGAGAAGGAATGGGTCATAGATAATCAGAGAATGTATGGATCAGAGATGGTCAAAGAAGGTATAGGTCATGGATAATCGGAGATGGTCAGAGAAGATATGGGTCATGGATAATCAGAGAGGGTATAGATCAGAGATGGTCAGAGAAGGTATGAGTCATGGATAATCAGAGAAGGTATGGGTCAGAGAAGGTATGGGTTCATGGATAAGCAGAGATGGTATGGATCAGAGATGGTCATAGACGGTATGAGTCATAGATAAGCAGAGAAAGTATGGGTCAGAGATGGTCTCATGGCGTAGAATACAAAGGGTGAGTGATTTTATGGAGTAAAGATGGTCATTGATGGTATTGGTATTGGTCCCAGACTATTTGCTCACAACGCTCCAGATAACTCGGGTCTGGTTGGGTGACCAGTGATGAACGCGCCACTGTTCATGACATAATTAGACAAAATCTGATTTTCATCATGTCTGTCTATGCAAGGGCTGGCTGCTCATTGGCTCCTGAATACCAGTATTATGTACGCTTTGGATTGTGAGCTAATTTGGGCAGGGACATCTTCATCTACTGTTCCCGTATGTGACATGTTTTATTAGTGTTAAATATGTCTTGTTTTCAGCGCTTTGGAATATGTAATATTATATAATAAGGATTGTAATCGTATATTCTCTATTTGGACAATGCTAGATCAGCTCACAGGATATTTGCAGAGTCTGTTATTTATTAATATATTACCATTCAAATTTCTTGTGTCCTGCTCACGAGACTTGGACGGTGTTTGTCATTTTGTTGTTGTAGTGGAATATATTCACCAAACTAGAACTGCAAGTAAGAAGAGGGGGGGGAATTAAGAAAGGGGGGTAAGAAGAGGGGGGAGGGGGGAGTAAAGAAGAAAGAGGGAGGGAGTAAGAAGGGGTAAGAAGAGGGGGAGGGGGGAGTAAGAAGGGGGTAAGAAGTTCTTTATTTGAAATTTAAGTTTTTTTTTCCTGAAATTTCCTTCTTAAAATGAGGTGCGTGTTATACGCCGGTGCGTGTTATACGCTGATAAATACGGTAATTATTCTTGTTATATCCAACCAGCGAAGCTATTGGCGAGCTGTCTGGAGGAGGCTGAGAGCTGCAACTGAAATCCTGCTGAGAACCGGAAGTCCAGCCCAAAAGTACGTCTGGACCAGTAGGTAAGTTAGGTAGGAGGGGGAGTCCCTTATAAAGGGACATAGCCCCTCACACAACTTCAGGCCCCACCTTCCAATATATAACTATATATATATATTGTGTATATATATATATATTATAAAAACAAATATTAATTAAAAATAAAAATAATTTTAAAATCATTATATATATATATATATATATACACACACACACACACACAATATCTTAGTGGAGAGCACTCACATGGCTCAAGAATATTTCAAAAGTGCTTTTTATTTCAGCAGCAATATATATATGTAATTTTATTCTAACTATATTTTGATATTGATATATATATATTTTGTTTTACTTTCCAAGACACCCTAAAACCTGTGCATGGGGGGTACTGTTTTACTCGGTAGACTTCGCTGAACACAAATATTAGTGTTTCAAAACAGTAAAACATATCACAGTGATGATATTTTCAGTGAAAGTGACGTGTTTTGCATTGTTGTGATACGTTTTACTGTTTTGAAACACTAATATTTGTGTTCAGCGAAGTTTCCCAAGTATCTCAGTACCCCCCCATGTACAGGTTTTATAGTGTTATTGAAAGTTACAGGGTCAAATATAAGGCAGATTTTTCACATTTAAATTTGCCAGATTGGCTATGTTGCCTTTGAGAACGTATGGTAGTCCAGGAATGAGAATTACCCCCATGATGGCATACCATTTGCAAAAGAAGATAACCCAAGGTATTGCAAATGGGGTATGCTCAGTCTCTTTAGTAGTCACTTAGTCACAAACACTGTGCAAAGTTAGCGTTCATGATTGTTTTCTGCATTTTTAGCACACAAACAAATATAAATTATACTAAAAGTGGCTACTAAAAAAGACTGGACATACCCCATATTGAATACCCTGGGTTGTCTACTTTTCAAAAATATATGGTTTGATGGGGGTAAATTACATTGGCCGGCTTCAAAAATGTCAAAATAGGACATGGGTGCATGATGACCAGCTGTGAAAATTCCAAGTTGGAAAACTGGAATGCGTACCCTCCAAATAAGGTGTTTTAGCCCCCAGAGAACTCGTCACACCTATACATGGGTGGTATCACTGTACTTAGGAGATGTTGCTGACCACATATATGGGTGATCTTTGGCAGTAATCCTTAAAGTTCTCAGTATATGTATTCTTAAATTGCTATGTGTGTCAAAAAAATCACCAATTATTATATATTTTTTTAAATGTGGCATAGATTGGTGGTAAAATGGTTGCATGAAAAGAGTCAAAATACCCCAAGTTTAATACCTTAGGTTGTCTTCATTTAAGAAAATATATACATGTGAAGGGTTGTTCAGTGATTCCTGACAGATATCTGTGTTACAATGTAACTTGCGGTAATTTTGAAAAAAATATATATATATTTGGAAATAGCAAAGTGCTACTTGTACTTATAGCCCTATAACTTTCCAAAAAAAAAAAGCTAAGCACATGTAAACATTGGGTATTTCTAAACTCAGGACAAAATTTGGAAACTATTTATCATGGGTGTTTGTTTTTTGGCGGTTGTACATGTATAAGTGTGTGGCAAAGCAGAGGAAAGGTGAGGGGGTTATCATGTGAGGGAGGGGGCGATATACTGTGAAGCACCCCCTTATACACCACTGGGGTACTGTAAATGAGTAAGTGGAAAATTACAGCTAAACACAAACACGGCAAAAACGTTAAACGGTAAGAAAATTGAAAAGCGATCTGGTCAGTAAAGGGTTAATGGTGTATTTACATGAAATTACATTTTGCACCCAGTGTGTGCCCTCATTGAAGGAGTTTGTCTTGATGGCTTACACTCTAACTTATTGTAAACACGACCACGTTTATGCTAGTTACTTATATCTCAGAGGGCGAACCAAGTAGGAACTTGATGCCTTAAACTACATTTCCCTAGACGCCTTATGAAGAAGGCAGACTGTGAAGCATGACGGATATTGTAGTTTGTTTACTATGTGTGACCTAGCAGCCAATCAGAGAGGGCCATGTAGCTGAGTGCTAGTGACAAGCCGTCGCTGCCGGGTTCAATCCATGCAATCTGTGGTTGGCTGTGAAGCAGGAAGTGCGGCATGGTTGGTCCAGGTGGATGATCGGAGGGTGTTCATTGGCTGCTTGTCTCCTTGCGAAGGAGTGTTTAGGCCGCGAACCGAGCCTCAGGTTGTCAGAGCTGGGAAAGAGCTCGGTTCGGGGAGGCTGGAGGATGGCAGGCAGGGGTCTGTACGGTGCGCTTCTCTTCTGCTGCATCATTGTATCCGTCCTACTGGGAGCCAAAGGGTCTGGTGTTGGTGAGTGTCATTATCCACGGAGTGTGAGTGGCAGTATATCCATGGAGTGTGGTATAGGAAAACATAACGAACGTAAGTGACAGTAATGCAAATCAGGCAGCATGAGTGATAGAAACCTGAGGCCAGACCTCTGAGTGACAGCAGCCAAGGAGTGAGAGTGAATAACAAAAATGTAAGGCAGTAAGGATGAGTGATTGCAACCAAGAAATGTGATTGACAGCAGTATGAGGCAGGAAGGGTGAGTGACAGCAATGTGAGGCAGGAAGGATAAGTCACAGCTTGCAAGGTGTGTGAGTGACAGGTGCAAGGCACGTAGGATAAGTGACAGCTTGCAAGGTGTGTGAGTGACAGAAGTGTAAAGCAGGAAGTGTGAGTGACAGCTTGCAAGGAGTGTGTGACAGCAGTGGGGGGCAGGAAGGATGAGTGAAAGCTTGCAAGGTGTGTGTGACAGCAGTGGGGGCAGGAAGGATGAGTGACAGCTTGCAAGGTGTGTGAGTGACAGCAGTGGGGGGCAGGAAGGATGAGTGACAGCTTGCAAGGTGAGTGAGTGACAGCAGTGGGGGGCAGGAAGGATGAGTGACAGCTTGCAAGGTGAGTGAGTGACAGCAGTGGGGGGCAGGAAGGATGAGTGACAGCTTGCAAGGTGTGTGAGTGACAGCAGAGGCAGGATAAGTGACAGCTTGCAAGTTGTGAGTGACAGCAGTGTAAGGCTGGGATAAGTGACAGCTTGCAATAAGTGTGAGTGACAGCAGTGTAAGGCATGAAGGATAAGTGACAGATTGCAAGGAGTGTGAGGCAGGAAAGGTGAGTACTGGTTGCAAGGAATGTAAGTGACAGCAGTGGGAGGCAGGAAGGATAAGTCACAGCTTGCAAGGAGTGTGAATGAGGAAGAGTGAGTGACAGCTTGCAATGAGTGTGATTGACAGGAGTGTGAGGCAGGGAGGGTGAGTGGTTTTCAAGGAATTTGATCGACAGCTGTGGGAGGCAGGCAGGCAGGATGAGTGACAGCTTGCAAGGGGTGTGAAGGACAGGAGTGGGAGGCAGTAAGGGTGAGTAACGGTACTGTGAGACAGGGAGATGCGAGCCAGCAGGCAAGAAGTGTGAATGACAGCAATGTGATGCAGTGGGGAATCAAGACCGCAGCCTAGGAGTGTGAGTGACAGAAACCATCAATGTGAATGACAGCAATGTTAGGTGGAGGGATGACTGACACTGCATTGCAAAAGATGAGTGACGGCAATAGGAGTGTAAATGACAGAAATGTGATGCTTGAATTGTGAGTTATTGCTTCCTGGGAGACTGATGACAATGTGAGGAAATGTGACAGCAGCTGGGATAATATGGCCTTAGTTATGTTTTTCTGATAGCTATAATTTCCACAATAGACCTGAGTAGTTATACCCAGCCCTCTGTAGGAAATATGTTTGCTTAAACGAGAGAGAACTGTTGAAGATACTGGACAAAGTAATGGAAGATAGTCAGAAAGTAAGGTGCTCACTGTCCGTGTACTGTGTGTCGTCGTCTGTTATTTACAGGAACGACCTAGGTTGCATATAGTACAAATCTGTAGTTAACCATTATTCCTATTATAAACAGAGATTAATTTTAAACTAGTTATCCAAAAGAAAACTCATTCTTTTTATAATCTCATTTTGTTACAGTACAACTTTTTATCACATTTAAAAGGGTGAAATGTCTTTAAAGGTTTAATATATTTTTTTTTTTTTTCTCCTAGATGTTGATGGGGACGATGAGGAGACTCCGGTGAGTTCCCCGTTAGATTAATTCTGTATATTCTGTGTGCATGCCGTCACGACAACTTTAGAAATATTATGAGATATAAAATTAGAATCCTTCAAAAATCAAACTATGCTGCAGACTGCTTTGAAAAATCAGTGTTCGGAAGTGGCGCAAACTAAGGAACAAAGTGAACATTTAAATACATGTAAGAAACATAGACCTTGTTGCTTCATGGCTCGGGGGACAGACTTCCTCTTTAGTTTTTCATTCGCTTATTCAAGCAGATCCTATTATTTTTAATGTAAAGGCACTGGTTTCACAATGCCCTAATCACCTGCTTCTTGTTCAATCTTATGTATGCATTGTTTAAAGCGTTAATTTCAATGTCAATGACTGCAGTTTATTACCATGTAAGTCAACCGTGAGCAAATAGTATATGTGTGTGTGTGTGTGTGTGTATGTGTATATATGCAAGTCTCAAAGGAGGTTACTTTTGTGAAGTTCCTCGTAAAATAGAGAACCTTAATAAAACAGTAGCTCCATAGTATGACAATAAAGAACCTATAACTTGTATAATACAACATCAGTTTTGTGTTGTGCTGTACATTTTATCTAATCAGAAGATCAGCACATGCATAGATCATGATTTGACACGAAAAATGCGTCACCAGATTTCTGGTACTGATGTGCGACCGCCAGAAAACTGTCAAGGCTGCAGCCCAGAATGATGCACAAGCTATGTATTTTGAGCTTTTAACCATGCAACCCAAATGCCATGTGTATCACTTGCTAATTGTGAAGCACATTGCATGAATTGCATATATACCATCTTGAAGCTAGCTTTATTGTGAGTAACACTGTTCTTTTAAATGAAAATTCAATAATGGAAATATACGAGTATGATACTAAAGTATGAAGACCCTTGGTAAATCCAGTAATGCATAACTAAGGTACAAATGTGCAATACATACCACCCAATGAAATGGTAAAAAGCAATGCAGAGAAAATATAAGGAGCATTCTTTGGTGACTAGGTGATAGATCTATTATTGCACTTCATGGAAACAATGCTCCTCAGTTGGTAGTAAAACATCTGTTTTGGTCAAAGGTTTCAGGTCCTGGAATATATTGTGCTTATTGTATTTTTTTTTTTTCTTTTGTTTGGCTTTATTATATTTAGTAAAATTCTGATTTTGTTTTGTAGTCTCTGTTCCATATCCCTGACAGAGAAGAGAAACGTTGGTGTGAACACAGGACGTTGAGTGCTTTGTGTTATTGCCCTGAGATTTATTCTCCATTTTATTTATTTTTGTTCATATTGCATTTTTTGCTATTCTTTTACAATGTACGGAGATATGATCAAATGGTATATATTATTCTATATTGACATTTTTACCATTTATAATATACAGGTCACAATATTTGCATACATTTTGGAATAGCTGGTGTTGGAATTACTTTGGTTCTATCTTTTATTTTATTTTTTCTTTAAGATTTCTGAACATGCAGAGGAGCAAGAAGATGAGTACCCTACAGGAGACGAGCTGATTTTAGATTCCCAACCGGTTATCGAGCTTGAGGAGCCTGAAAATGATAAAGATTCTGGGGTTAACAGTGAAACTTCAGAGGACATCTCTCCTATCACTACTGAACCTACAACAGAGCAAGATGTCACCATTGTAGAACCAGAGGAAATGCAGCACATCACCTTTCTGGACCACTTTCACAGTCCTGAGGGGGAGTCGGCACTTGGGTCTGAGGATGGCACAGAACCATGGCAGGGTGAAAGTGACACTAAGTCTACTGAAATACAAAATAATGGTAATTTTTTTTATTTATTTTTTTTACATAGTTATAAAATTATGGTTATGGTGCCAGGAGACCACTTGGTTCTGGTAGATTACTGGTGGGTGGTGCCTTTTAAGTCCTTTTACCATAACCACTACATTGTAATGGATATGATGCCTAGAGTGTCACTTTAATGTTTTGAGATAGAGAGAGAGAGAGAGAGAGATATATATATATATATATATATATATATATATATCTATCTATATCTCTCTCTATTATAACATGAAAGTGGGTAGAGATCTATAGATAGGCTGTGCAACTTTTCACTTATTTTTGGATGAGCAATTGCACTCATCACCAAGAACCTTTCCTTGTGAAACCCCCAGCTGTCATATCTGACTGTGCTGCGTCCCCTGGGTTGCCAGGTGTGTAAGGAGTTTCCTGTTCCCTGATCATCTCATTGGCTCACGACATAATTTTATGTAAACAGTGAAAAATTTGTGGTGAGAGATTGCTTTTGGAAGCCGAAACTGCTACTTGTTTCTTTAGATGCAGGAGACAAGATTTCATACGTTCAATTTGCCCTCGTGATACTTAGTGTAAAAGTGATTGAGTCCTATTTTTAATGTGCTATATTTTTTTTATGGTATAACTGTAAATGTATCAGTTCAACTATTCACATGTAATTGAATTGCAGCTTCCACAATTGTCTGCTGTTCAGAGGCCTGCAGAGATTTAAAGGTATTGAAGTCCAGCAGCTTTGGGGGAGCATTTCACCAGCACTGGTTTAGCACATTTATGGAAAACCCAACTGTTCAAAAGTTTTGTTCACGTGTAACCTATACAACATTTCAGCATATTGAAGAGTCTTAGTAAAGGCTCTTTATCGGTGAGCCAAAACATTGCTTATATAACAAATTGCCCTTTTTAAATACTACCTTTGTGACAGGTGCTGTCTGTAGACCACTATAGATGAATTTTTCCGTGTTGGATTTTGGAGCACAAAGGAGAGTTTTGTTGTGCGCTTTCTTTCTGTATTTTAACCAAACATGGAATTGGGCACAGGATAATTATCTTTGGCTTGCACGATCTATACATACTATTAACAGATTAGCACAATACTCTGTCATGTTCTTCATGACAAAGGTCTTTGTTTTGAGACTCTCCCTTGATGTTAATAATAATTTAGATTTTTATTTTTTCTCATAGACTCAGACGTTAACAGCTCTTTGAGTAAACTTAACTGTGAACTACTAATGTGACAAACATTTGAATATAATTTGTTAGTAAAGAGGAAAAAAAAATTACTTGTCCAGGTAGAGATATGGGGCTGTATGGTTTAATAGCTCAAGCAGAAGTGTTTGTAGACTGACACTTGATACACGTGGAAATATCCGACGCTGGATGTCCTCATGCAGAGCGTGTGGACGTCCAGGGTCAGATACCGGACCAAAGGTCTGTTACAATCCAGAAAGCACCCCAGTGTTTAACATTGCAGCACTAAGTGCAAAAGGGACACTGCACCCATACCACTTCAATGAGCTGAAGTGGTCTGGGTGCCTATAGTGACCCTTAATTCTGCAGCGCATTACAATGTTCTTTAAAGGGCAGATGAGACAAACTAGTAAAGATTTTGACAGTAATACTAGGTTGATTAGAACTTGAACAAGTCTCATCCAGCCTAATAGATCTTCTTGATTGTCCTCCTTATTAGTCATACTGAATCATATGTTTTAAATAATAAGCACACTTGAACGTCCTATGCATTGTATGCTAACATATACTAGTGGTTTTCAGCATGGATGCCTCAAGCACCCTCAAAGTGTGCCATCGACACATTTTCATGGCTGTACTAAATTGAATTCTGCCTTTAAAATGTGTTGGTATCTTCTCTAAAGATACCATCCAAACTTAGCATTACCACCTGACAATTGGTGAAAATGAATAAGTAAATTTACCTAAAAATAAAAATATAGATCGCTCTAGTAGGACTTTAAGTAAATTGTAGGTGACATTTTATAAGTTTCAGATGAGAAAATGTATCATCAAAGTATGCCTTGGCCCAAGAATGTGTACTGTAAACAGCATGAAATATTTTTTTTTTTTTCTCTCTATCTATCTATATATCAGCTTGGCACTCTCCTTGCAAAAGAGAAAAAACAAAAATAGATAAACATAAAGACAGGGGTGCACTCACAGGTCTTAGAAAAAGTGGCAACTGGTTTATTTGAATGAAAAAATCTTGAAAAAGTCCCTTAGGGGTCGAAACGTTAAATATTTTTTTTTTTTTTATTTATTTTTTTTTTCCACAGATGTATTGAAGATTTTTTCATTCAAATAAACCAGTTGCCACTTTTTCTAAGACCTGTGAGTGCACCCCTGTATGTGTATGTATGTGTGTGTGTGTGTGTATGTGTGTATATATATATATATCTCTATATATATATATATATATATATATATATATATATATATATATCTCTATATCTCATCTCTATCTCTCCATGGTCCTCCATCCTATGCCTGGGAAATAAAGTGGGATTGAAGCTAAAAGCTCAACCTTGTAGATTATTCATGTGTTTCAGTTGTGTGCCATCTCGTAAATCTTGACTGTACTGTGTGCTAGAAGTTGTCAGGTGACAGCAAATTTAATTAACTTATTTAAACAATGGAGGTTTGATACTGGTATTTCCTGTGCATGCAGACTACTGGAAACCAGTTTAGGCAGCATACTGTTTGCTTTGTGTCATGTGTATAAATGAAAATGTTTGTGTTTTTTTTTTTTTCTCTATAGTTTTCAAGTAGAATTTTTTTATATATATATATATATATATATATATATATATATATTTTGAGGGCTTGAATTCCCTTTAAAAGGGCTGCCAATCCACTCCCACCTTATCGTTGCTGGTCTGGCGAGTCTGAAACGTTTTACTTCCGGTTCAGATCGCCATCTTGGATTTTCTTACCCGTTTTCCTCGTGGTCTCCTGGTCCGGTGCTTACCTGGCTCTCCTTCCTGTTGCAGGCATCCGCACAGCCAGCTCGTTACCTTGCCGCCGCGAAAACACCGTAAGTCAGGCCCGCCGTAAAGCAACCGCCGCAAACTTCCTTGCTTTACACGGCGGAGCCCCGTTCGTTTGAAACCAGCGTTCGGTTCTTTTCCTTTTCATACATTATGCCATTCGGCTAATTCCCTCATCTACTCGCATGTTTCATTTTTTTCCTAATCTAACGAACGCTATCATTCGGTTATATACATATAACATCTTTCTGTTCGGTTTTCGAATGTCACTTAGGATGTATCTATTCGTATGTTTCAACACTCTACCTAGTTCTTTCAGTAATTACAACAAACTCACGAATAAGCACAAATTCAGCCAGTACTCTATGGGGATTCTGCCCCTACTGGTTACAAACGTTATTACAGTCACTTATAAAATTCTACTAAAGTAAATATAAATGTTTAAACCTGGATGATGTGTCCTGATTTTCCTTACTTTTTCCCACAGGTTCATACCAGGGGTTCGTACTAGGAATTGTGATTTCTGATACTTGTATCAATTATATTTACTTCTAGGTTGGTTGGAATTTAATTATACATTCAATTTTGAAGGCGAATGATACAGATTAAATAGTTAAGTGTGTAATTTACTCTTTTAGGTCATTATACGTTGGACGGTAGCTTTTACAAGCACGGAAGCCGTCATCATCTTTTCGTTTAAATCTACCCTCTGCAGAGCGTCGGGTAGGTTCTGGTTTTAGGGCCCACGATCTGGCAAAAACTACAACCTTACAGTCAGACATTTATATATCAAATCTCATGTCCACAGGTCAACATCTTGATACTATTACAGTTGCTGTTTACCTCTACATTGACAGCTTGGCCTGACTAACATATCCGGTACTACGCCAGAACCCATTACTTTCTATGTTCTGAGTGGTACTGGTCCTAGGTTGCGTGACCCAATTCAGTATTAAACATTTTCTGGTCTTAATCCATAGGCTAGTGGTCCCGCCTATGCCAAATCCTCATACCCCTCGGGCCAAATCATAGCTAGCCGCCTCGCACTGTTGCAAAGAGAGGCCTCACCTGTCACTCCCATTCTTTCTTATGCTTTAATTGACACTGAGAGGCCAACACCCCGCCACAACGTTCGTTGGCCTCAATTTGCCCTCAGCCCACGCATAGATAGTGTCTCTAAGGCCGCTTGGCAACTAGCAGCAACTCATCTGTTACGCTCACAAAGCATAATTTTTTTACCGGTAGCCACACCAGTACCCACCCAAATTCATAACATATGACTGATAAAACAAATTTTTATATTTTTCAGTTATGTCACAAACTCCTGATATCCCTGAGGAACTTTCACTACCCAGCACACCCGCTAGGCCCCTGTGCCTGGTGCAGATGTGAATAGCCCTTCGTCCCTTAAATCATGGACCATCCCACGTCTCACAGATGAACTCAGAAGACGCTGCATCCCTTTTCCAGCTACTGCTAGGAAGGCGGAGTTGTTTAGATTACTGAACACTACCACCGACAACTCCGAGGCGGGGGAAGGCCCTAGTCGAACTCAATTACCTGCTTTTCATGCCATGATGACGTCTCTAATGACATCCATTGGCACAAAAAGTGACAGGCTGGATAAATTGGAGGCTGGGGCTAATCCGTCCACTACCAATACTGCGGTCACCAGTCATCCTCTCCTTAATGCTATGCCCAGTAATTCCTTTGAATCTATGGCGGCTATAGAATCAATTAATCCCTCGCATATGTTCCCATCTCACCTTTAAAAGGACATTCTGGGAGGCAAGGACGTTAACCTGGTCTCATTGCTCATTGCCTCCCAGGATGTCCTAGAGAACAGGACCTTTGCATACGGGCATATTTCTGTACTAAGGGCTAGAGACCCAGGCTAAATAAGAAATTGTCCATCCCTGAATTCGTGCTGGGGTTTGGGATTTATAGAGATGTTTACCCTGAGAGAAGAGCAGAGTTGGATGCATACATGCACAAGATGGTGGATCTGGGTCACAAATACAGTGGTACCACTTTTTACGATTACCACCGTTCCTTCTCTGCAAAGGTGGCTGCGGCTCTGGCTCAGTTCAATTTACGCATAAATTGGAACAAGTTGGACACGGAGCTATTTTGCAGGCCTCAGACCCCCAGCTTGTGCAGTGTGTGCATCGGCAACGCATAGCACCAATTTCTGCTCGAATTCAGGCAGAAATTGAACAAAACCAACCGGCTTCTAACTTCCAAAGACCTACTAGAGGATTAAAAGACAAACTGGGCAGGGATATTGTATTTTTAGGCAAATCCCAAGTTTGCAATAATTTTAACGCGGGCAATTGTGGTTACAGCTCTTGCAGGTTAATGCATGTATGTTCACACTGTTTCAGGGCCCATTCCAAGACAATGTGCCCAAATAAAGCATTTCCCAAAACGTATCTTACGTGCATGAACCTCAGCTTACTCACCACTTTGTTACATCTACACCCATCACGCCATTTCAGTAACTCCCTCATAACGGGACTTACTGAGGGATTTCACACCGGGTTGATGCATTTACCTACAGGCACGCTGGAATGTGACAACCTACTATCCACATTAGATGATCCACAGTTGGTACACAAACTTATCATGACCGAGGTAAACCAAGGGTTTTTGTTGGGCCCATTCTTTTCACCACCTTTCACATCTTGGAGAACCAACCCCATTGGGGTTGTCATGGGAAAAAACTCACTCAAACCTAGACTGATCATTGATTTATCAGGACCACATTCCTCCACAGTCCCCAGCCTAAAGTCACTCATACGTTCCGAAGAGTTTTCACTACATTACGCCACTATCGACCATGCCATAGTGGCCATCATTAAAGCAGGCACAGGGGCATGGTTAAGTAAAACTTCCCATGCACCCTTCCCTTTGGCACCTTCACGGCATTAAATGGCAAGGGTTATATTATTTCTTCACCCGTCTCACTTTTGGCTCCAAAAGTAGCCCACGTAGTTTTGACACATTTGCAGAAGCGTTGTGTTGGTTATTACTTAATGTGTGCAAATTTCCTTTGGTCATTCATTATCTGGATGATTTCCTCATGATTGAGAACAACACACTCCCCCCAAGTAGTTTGAAACACATGTTGGCTTTGTTTGAATCCCCGCACAAGACGTTGGTCCCCGACACCAACATGCAATTTTTGGGGATACAACTAGACACTGTACACATGCAGGCTAGCCTCCCTCAGGACAAAACTGAGCGTACCCTGGCAAGCATTGAACACTACCTACTGCATGGGTGTTGCACCCGGAAAGAACTGCAATCACTGCTGGGTTCGCTCAACTTTGCATTGAGGATCATTCCACCAGGTAGATCTTTCATTTCACATCTACTATCCCTATTTCTTCAATTCACCTCAGACACTTAACGTATCACGTTAGACGACCACGCAACCTCTGATTTACGGATGTGGTTTTTTTTTCTCACCTCTTGGAACGGGCGAGCCATGTTTATACCACCCCACTCTGACGCTTCACCTACACTGTGGACAGATGCCGCAGCAAACACAGGTTTTGCAGCCATCTGGGGAGATCAATGGCTTTGGGGATCAATGGCCATGGCCGACCGAAGTCAAATCACTGCCCAAATTCACTGAGACCTCCGCTTTATTTGAGCTGTACCCAATTGTGGCAGCGGCCATAGCCTGGGGACCACATTGGTCCGGTCACTTGGTTAGGTGCTACTTGGATAATATGGCTACATGCCATATTGTCAATAAAGGCCGATCAGCATCCCTGGTAATTATGAGACGACTCACATGGGTAGCGGCCACATGTCAATTCTTTATCTCATGTATTCACGTTCCGGGGTGCACAAACACTGGTGCTGATCACTTGTCTCGATTTCGTTTTCAGGATTTCTTCACGACACTACCCTCCGCTTCCAGACTGGCAACTCTTGCCCCACTCTTCCGAGACATGATAATGGATTAAAAGCTTTGTTAGATCACGCACGTCACATTTCTCACTTTGGACTTTCAGTAAACACTAGAAACACATACGACAGGGCTTTTCACGTAATCAAGAAATTCATCACTGAATTCCACATCCACGACATGTTCACGTTAGAATCAATACTGGGTTTCACTTCTTTTTGCCACATCAACCTTAAATTAGCATTCAACACTATAAAATTGTACCTTACGGGCATTAGACACCACATGCTTATCCAACAACCCAACGCTACAGGTTTCCTGTCCTCCTATCAAATTAAGAAACTACTTAAAGGCATTAAAACATTGGACGCACACATTCCCTCACAAAGACTATCCATAGACAACAACATATTCCATTCACTAATCAATTTATTAGATTCTTCTCCTTTCGAACCCATAACCAATACCGTAATAAAGACAGCTATATATTTAGCTTTTTATGGGTTCCTCCGACCCAACGAATTCACGACTAGGACCATTACAACCTCCGACTACCTAAGAACTATGGACTTGCAAAAACATAACGACCATTACTTACTAATTTTAAAACAATCTAAAACCAGCACCGTAGGTCATACTATTGAAATCCTCTTGTATCCTACTAATAACAAATGATGCCCCGTACAAATTTTTGATGCTTATTTACTTTCACTCCACAAACAACCTCTACAACCTTTGCTCGAACTACATGGAAACATTCTGACTACAACAAAATGTATGCTCTATGTACGTCTACTGTTGACTAGGCTCTGCCTAAACCCCAATTATTTCTCAGGTCATTCTTTCTGAATTGGGGCAGCATCTGCTAATCACGTACCCACACACATTATCAAGGCAATGGGACGCTGGTAGTCCTCAGCCTACACCCTCTACATACCTAATCCTGTTAAAGAATTAAGACAAGCTTTCTGTGACTTATCTAAATAAATATAAGTTGGTTAATTGTATTACATCTTATGGTATTTTCTTTTTGCCTACTTTTATTACAGGCCTACTGCTTTGTCGGTTCCGGCACACCACAACCGACTGCTTCCAACTCATTGATGAAATTATTATTATTATTATTATTTATTATTATTATAAGCTAGATTTCTGTATGTGACTGTTGCCCCGACTACAAATTTGAAGGCTTGGCCTGTAGTTGTGGGAGGGGCTTGAATTCCCTTTAAAAGGGCTGCCAATCCACTCCCACCTTACCGTTGCTGGTCTAGCGAGTCACCTCTCCCACCACTCCCTCTATTCATAAACGCACTCTAAGGTGGGCCCACTTTTTATTATAGGCCTACTGCTTTGTTGGTTCCGGCACACCACAACCGACTGGTTCCAACTCATTGATGTTATCATTATTATAAGCTATATTTCTGTATATGACTGTTGCCCCGTCTACAAATATATATTTTAATTCATGTTTTAGTGATGGGCGTTCACATACATAATAAAGCACTTGCATATGCCTATATTCAGGCATTCTACATTATGACAGGTCATTGTGGGATTTTTAAAACAAAATTGGAGGAGCAGCTCCTACAGACAGACCTCTTTACCTGTAGAGGCTATAGTGCTCATTTAAAAAGCACTGCATTGGTGGATAGCTGAAATATTTAGAGGGAAGTACTGTACACACACACAGTGACCAGTGTCCGAATACTTTGTATGTGGACACCATATTAAAATAGAATCAATTATCTTATGATTTTCAATGTTTAATTGTATTTTTTTTTTTTTGCTTTTTATTCTACTTAAATGGCCACAGATCCCTTAGCTTGAAAAGTAAGAGCTTGGATCACAAGCTTGGAATCCATGTAATCTGTGGGTAATATAGTAGCTTAGCCATTAGAAACTTTCATAGAATTGTTTTATAAAGTTGGTAATTTTGATCTTGTTTTCATCCTGTTAAATCAAACCTGTCTTCCCCACTCCCCTCCGTTTTTGTTTTTTTGCAATTCTGTAAGTCCTGCAATTATATGAGATTAATGGACCCGTTTCTTTTATTCCTTTTGCTTCTTTTAATAATTTATACCTTCTTAGTGATCACTGTCCTCGGAGGTACATCGCCTGGGGAGCCATGCCACTTCCCCTTCTTATTCATGGAGAAGGAATACACAGATTGCACGACAGATGGACGGGAGGATGGAAGGCTCTGGTGTGCAACCAGCTATGACTATAAAAGTGACCACAATTGGGGCTTCTGTGAAAGTGAGTTTATTGCTGACATTGATGTGCTCATATTAATTTGAGTGTGAACATGGGATTTAATATTTGGAACTGTGGGAGTGAATAGATGTTCTAATTTTCGTTGTAGAGGGAACTTCAGGTTTAGTTGAAGTCTAATGTATACCTTTGCTGGTAATTTCATTAACACTATTTAAAAACTGCATTTTAATGTGTTCATTAAAAGTAATCCATACCAACAGAGACCGTTAAGAAGAACGCACAGCCATCTTGGATAGTGGAGAGAATTACTCCCTTTGTACCCAGAAGGGCAATACCGGGGACTTCTGACTCTCCTACCTAATGCCTAAGGAGGCTGATGTTACTGCCAAACGCGTTATTGTTCATTTCTTTATAGTTCTGTGTTAGACTTTAAGTCTCCCATGCACCCTGGCTCCGTAAGCATTTGCCTTACATATTAACCTACTTGTTCCTCCCTCCCCCTCCCGCAAGCTAGAATTAACGTGTCAAGTTGCTCCTTTATTGAAGTACATGTTTAATACCATGTTCAGCCTAAGCCCAGAGCCTTTTTTACATACCTTCCTGCCACAGTCACAAGCTACGTGACGCTTCGTTATCACTGGTGCCATATGCGCAACACGCAGTCAGCACCTTACTCTAAGTCGCAGGCACACAAAGCCTTGTACCAGTCCCCCTATTTTACTGTTAGAGCAATTTAAGATTGGCACGCAGGGTCTTGCAGTAGATCTAAAACATAGGTTGTTATTATACTGGTGGCGTGATTGTTATACCATTCTTGTATTCACTGTTATTTTTGCTTTCCAGTTGTGATGTGCTAAGAGATCAATGCTGACCACAAAAAAAAAAAAAAAAAAAAGTAATCCATACATTGGTCTATCCATTTTGCCAACACGTGTAAATTCTAAATTAAAAACCTAGTCGCTCACCTGGCCAGATGTTGGCCTACCTATGTATGCTGAGGGCATAGCATGCATCTGAAAAATGTACTTGCTTGTGGTTCTACTGCTTTCCTCATTTAGCAACTACAGTGCATATGCTGTTAGCTTCTGCACATCTTACCAGACCCTTTATTTTTCTCTTCCAAGTTTCTAAGTATTTTGTCTCTTCCATAGCTGAAGAACAAGCCACAAAGAGGCGACAATTACATGAAGCTGAAGTCCTTTACCAGTTGGGGATGAAAATCCTTAATGAAAGCAGCAAGCGGTCACAAAAGAAAGAGTATGTAATCTGTTGTTGTGTGGGCACAGTTTGTCACTCAGTTTTTTTTTTATATCCTGTATTGTTTGCTAGGTTTTGGGAATCCTAGCTTATTTACTGCTGCCAGTTTTTTACTACTATTGTATTGAGCGCCTATTTATTTATTTATTTTTTTTCTTCTACAATATGTTACTGTGTCATGGTGAAAATTGTTGTCAATTCTTCTAGAGAGAAAATAAAAATGTACCCACAGTGTAATGATTTGGATGTTCTACTTTCCTCATTATTACGAAAAGCATTTTATTTATTTTTTTGTTGTTGTTTATTTTATTTTTTTAGGGCGTTCCAGTACTTTATGAAGGCCTCTGATATGGACCATATAAAAGCAATGGAAAAAGTGGCCTATGCCCTACTGTTTGGGGACCCTATTAAGCAGGATATTCATTTGGCCAAGGAACTTCTGGAGAAACTAACTGAGCAGGGGTCACCAAGAGGCCAAATGGTACGTTAATATTATTATTTATAAATCGCCAACAAATTCCCCAGCACTGTATAAATTAACTAACAGGTAGTTTCAACAAGACAGGTTGTATGCACAGGAACAGAAGGTGCTGGGGTCCCTGCCCAAATGATCTTGCGTTGCCCACAGCATCTTCTGTATGTGCTGTTATCCCAGATATAATGAAGACCTGAAAATACAGTTCTGTGAAGCGAGCATGCCCAAACATATTGTTGCAATTCCAAAACTATTTATTTATTTTTGGAAATCAGTCTGCACATTAAAACGTTTTTGTGAGTTGGGCTTCTAGATAGTATTGGTTTCACCTACTTTTATCTTGAAAGCTAAAGTCAACAGTCCTGTTACAAAGTGAGTAATTAAAAAAAAAAAAAAAAAAAAAAAAGCACAGAAACTCAATTGACATTCTGGCTGCCTTCATAAAAAGGCCATGAAACAAACCAGGCCATTTCTTATTAATTTAAAAATTGAACATATTGTAAGAAAAGAAAAAAAAAAAAAATGCATAATTTGTTTAATATATTTACCTTTTAATCAATATTTAGTCTCAATATGTAATAGTAAGCACAATTTTCATGTCCATTTTTCTGATTTACTTTTGTGTGCGATTTGTCAAATTTCAGGCTCTGGGATTCCTGTATGCTTCTGGTCTGGGTGTCAATTCCAGTCAAGCGAAGGTAATTGCCATTATTTCTTTGCATCTAGGTGTATTTTATTATTTGTCTCGCAGTTTCTTGATATTTTGTCTCTCTTTAGGCCCTGGTGTATTATACATTTGGAGCCCTTGGAGGAAATCTGATTTCCCACATGATTTTGGTAAGGTTTATTTTTTGAACATGGTGTTTGTTTATTTAGTATAACGCTTGTACAGTTAGTTATACTTTGGTAATTTATTTCAGTTAATATTGTGCTGTATGCTGTGACTTGACCCCCATTTTCCATTTTGTTTTTTATTTCAAGGGTTACCGCTACTGGGCTGGTATTGGAGTGGTACAGAGTTGTGAATCTGCTCTTACTCATTATCGGCTTGTGGCAAACCATGGTGAGATAATCTGGCCATTTTCCTCTTGCTTTTTACTGTAGGTGCATGCCGTACTTTCTGACTCTCACTCACAACATGCAGTGTTCAGTAACCCAATTGCACATGCCATCAGCGAGCATAGCAAATGTTTCTTTGAGTTTTATCTCAAGTGACCACTTTCAAAAGTTTCATTAAAAATAAACTCCACTAATTACTGAAATACAATTTTCAGAAACCTTGCTCTCTCTGGTCATCTGTGGCCAGGTGTCTATGGGAGAAAATCCTTTTAGAAAAAAACGCATTAGAGTATCCTGTTCACCTCCTTGTCTGGAGAGTGTAAACCGTGGGAAATAATTATATATGCAGCATCTTCAGTGTTTGGATTTATTTTATTTTTTTTGTGGTGTTTAACTTTTTTTTTTTCTTTAATTTTTTGTATTTTTTTTTTTTTGTCCTTAAGTTGCCAGTGACATATCTCTTACTGGTGGTACCGTGGTACACCGAATCCGTCTGGCAGATGAAATCGAGAATCCAGGAATGGGCAGTGGGATGCTGGAGGAAGATCTGATCCAATATTACCAGTTCCTGGCAGAGAAGGGTGACATCCAAGCTCAGGTTGGCACAGTCTCTATGCAACAGTCATTGGAAACATCTATATCTGAACACCTTATAGCTTACTAGGCTGTGGAAAACCTGGGTGTTGTGTTTTTTGCTCTATCTTCTTAAAGAGCAAAGCCTAGCAATGGAATTCATAGACTGTGTATTCAGTAAATAGAAAAAAAAAATAGAATTTTTTATTTTTGTTTTATCTTAAGGTAAAGAGGTACAGATAACAGTGAATACTAATGTCAAGAGGTAGTCGGTTAGGATATACAATTAATATTACAGTAGGATTATATACTTATATGATATAAGATTAACTCCATAAAAGTATGAAAGAATGACTGAGGGGGAAAAAAAACTGCAAACCGTTCAATATTAATCAATAAGTAAAGATAACTTAACATTACATAATTTTAGTGCAAAATAGTGTAAAATTTCTCCAAGACATAATTTGTTTAATAAGTAATCTGTAACCTCCCCAGGCTCATTTCTGCATAAATTCATTGACCATTAGTAGTCCTACAGGTTTACCGGGGTAACATATCTCTTCTTTATTTCAACATTGCTTGAAATGTGCTGTTCTGTAATATGTGGAAATCAATTAATCAAGGACAAACAAAACTTGTTCACAAATTAATTTCAGCTGCTAACAGCCATTTAATCTGCTCCCAAACGATCCTTCTGAGAATTACATATGGAGTCTTATTCAATGAAAAAGACTCCATACGTATATCCCAGACATATTAGTTTGGACGCAGATTAAAAGGCAAATTATTCATTCGCAGTAGCTGCACATAAGTCTAGAACAAATCCCAAAGCAAGTACACTGACTACTAATTTTATTTACTTCCTGAAACATACAGGGTCTACATGGTATCAATATTCATGTGCTGCTCATCAATGTGTAGAGGTCTTTGTTCTGTCTCAAATTTTTTCTTTTTTTTTTTTCTTCAAACAGGTGGGTCTGGGACAACTGCACTTGCACGGAGGGCGTGGTGTGGAGCAAAATCATCAGGTAAGTTCACAAGAAAATAAAGATTGTCATGGTTATTTACTAAACCAGTGGTAGTCAACCTTTGGCACTCCAGATGTTATGGACTACGTCAAGCTTGTCAAACTTGTGTGCCACAATGTGGGCCAGCCCAGAGGCGACTCTCTAATTAGGCGACCGTCTAAAGTTTCGTGCTGGAGGGGGCACGGTGGCTTGCCCATTATGCCGCTGGGTGCAAGGCCTTTTCCTCGGTCTGGCTTGAGAGAGAGTGGAGCACAGCCTTCTGCATCCCTGCGCCGGATGCAGGACTGCATACTGAAGTGTCTTGTTTTTACAGCCAATTAGAGCATTGCTGCGGGTTACCACGGCAACGCTCTGACTCTGCTGGAGCAGACACTTACCATGTGGTCTGCAGCTCAGCACCCAGCGGAGCTGCATACCAGATATACAGGGTATAGATTAGGAAATAAAAAATAATAAAAATGTATTTGACAGGACACACTGTAACATTAATGCCTCTAATCCCCTCACTCTGCCACACTCACAATGTCCATTAACCCCTCTTAATCCTGTTACCATATCATACCACATTCACCCCAACCCTGTTATACTGACCCTCCAACCATGCCACATTAACCCCCTAATCCTGTCACACTTGCCTCGCTTCACCCTGTAACACTCCCTCCTCTAACCCTGTCACACTCACCCTCACTCATTCTGCCTCATTCACCCCCCAAACCTGTCTCACTCAAAACAAACTCGCCATGTCAAACTCACCCGCCCAGTCACTCCTTTACTCATCCTGTCAGTCACCCCTGAAGACAATCATCATATACACACACAGACATAAACACAGCCCCCCCATATATACACTCTTCCATGGAATATACACACACAGACATAAAACACAGCTTTGCCATAAACACAGTGCACAAGAGGGGGGGTGTGTGTCTGTCTTTTCAGGGGTGACTGACAGGATGAGTAAAGGGGTAACTGGCCAGGTGAGTTTGACATGGCGAGGGAGTGAAAGACAGGTTTGGGGGGTGAGTGAGGCAGAATGAGTGAAGGTTATTTTTATACTGTACTTTTAAAAAACAAACAAAAAAAACTACATTTCTATGAAAACTTAATTTTTTGTTTTATTGTGGCTCACATAAACTTAAACCTTGTTTATTTGGCCTGTGTTAGTCTTTGAGTAGTTTGACATACTTAGACTAAATCTTCCATAATGCTGACAAAGCATCAGGTGAGATGTAGTCCACACCATCTGGAGTGCTGTAGATTGCTTATCCCTACACTAAATCATGAATTTGAAGGAATCTGGAAATATGCAAATTGTAGAAACAATTACTACATAATCCTGCAATTTTGCCTCTAAAAATATCCTAATAATTTAAATAAAGACAATGACACTGCAGGTCACTTGCGACAAATTTAGTACAGTAAGGTTATTTGGTTTCACTTTCAATTTAAAGGTTTAGAATGATCAGAAACCAAAAACGTGTAAAGCGCTTAAGAATTCCAAAATTATAAATAGTGCACAAATCCATACGATTACAGCAACTCACCAAAAGTGACAAACAAATGACACACAAAGTTTAGTACACCAATAAACCGTACGCTTAAATTGTGTAAAACATAGAATCTTCAGAATGTTCTGCAAAATATATTTATACTACAGGACCGTTGAATGCTTCAATCTGGTTGACAAAAGTTCTGGTTTGACAAAGGTGTGCATTATTTTCAGGGAGATGCACGGCTAAAGTAGTTCCAGACAGGTCTTCACCGCATTACAGTTGCATAAGAAATTAGGGGTCCTAAATAATGACAAAAACTTGACAAACTTCTTGAAATACATCATCTGAACAATGTTTTGAGGTGTGGTAACTGTAGTATAAGTGGAATAATTGACTCCAGGCCGCTGAATTATTAGAAAAAAATAATGCGCACCTGAGGTGTAACGGCCACTCCACTTTGCGTCGTGATCGCATTACCCCCTCGGGTGTGCATTATTTTTCTAATAATTCAACGGCCTGTCGTCACTTATTCCATATATTATATAATATAATATAATTAGTGCAGACCATCTGCTTAAGCGTGTGTATATATACATAATCTAAAGTGCAGGGAGTGTCTGGAAATAAACTCACATTTACCACAGCATAGTTACCCCTGGCTCTGGGTCTAAAATAAATGCAGCCTGAGAGGGACACTTCCCACTAAAGGATAATTAGACAGGATTGATTATTTTCAGCTATGCCAGACAGGTTCTTCTATATAAGTAGGAGACAAGCAGAGAGGCCAGGACCCCAACTGATCCAAATCTTTATTATAATGAACAAAGATTAAAAACTCTTGCTTAAATCGTGGTGGGTATTACCAGCAATTTACCCACAACAGAGTATGCAAAACAAGCGGATGCCAATGTTCAGCGATCACTTCCGGGTTCTACCATAATTCAAGCGTGTGGCTTCCTGGTCTGCTTCTTACGAAAATGACTTTGTTGTTTATCTACTAAAATTAAACAAATTAGGGAGTGTTTCTTTAAGCAACACCGGCCTGTTTTATAGGAAAACGCTCAACTAGCAGAGATGTTAAAACATACATCACATTACTTGGAAGCAGAAGATTGTCAGAAAATGGTGCAGTTATCATGTTTTCTAATTTTTCTTACAGAGAGCGTTTGAATACTTCAATCAAGCAGCCAACGCCGGGAACTCGCATGCAATGGCTTTCTTGGGAAAGGTATGTCACTAGTCATGTGACGCATTCTGGACAGTACTCGTTGGTCATTGTTTGTCATACATAAAGCATTTTACGGTGTTTGTGGGAAGTTTCAATTCCTGATGCCCTAATGGAAGATTTTCATTTGATGTTTAGATGTACTCCGAAGGAAGTGACTCTGTGATGCAGAGCAATGAAACCGCACTGCAATACTTCAAGAAAGCCGCAGACATGGTAATGGTGATGCTTATTTTGATTTATGTGATTGCTTTGATATCCATTCTTCTTGATTTTGTTGATATAATCAGGTAGTGGGGCACTGGAACAAATTATTGTTTTTTAGTGCAGACCTCATTGCATCTTCAAATCACAAATACACCAAGTGTTTGGTTTTTTTTTTTTCTATAATAAAGATTCTCTCATTATGTCAATATACGTATGTTACAATGTATACACATTATTGATTGTTGGTATGTTGACTAATTTGTACAATTTTGTTATTCTTTTTTAAAATCATAAGTATTCGAAAATAGTAACCAGATTTATGCTTTTAGTGTACCTTTGCCTTCCCAAATCCCAATGTGGGTAAGGGTTTCACCTACAGATATCAATGGGACTTGAGGGAAAATGGCTTACTACCTAATGTACAAATGCAGAAAATATCTTCTAAAATCAATGTGATACCAAATAGACATAAATGGAGAATATGGGAACTCTGAGAACGGACAAAAGCTTAGAGGTACTCAGTATCTATTGAGACCTGAGCAGGGATTTACCGAAGGGCAAACAGACTTATTTTAGTTTCATATTTTTTTGTTTTTGTTGCAACGCATTAACTTCTCTCCCAATTTAAAAGGGTAATCCAGACGTGGACCACTGTGCCTAGAGCGGTATCAGCTACACCTCACTGTCGAGGCCCAAAGAATGCTGAAATGATCGTCTGAGGTTGCTGTACCTCTCGTGCAGAGGGAACTTGCTTGCATTTTGGTTTTGGACTGTCCTTATGGGTGGGATCATTCTCTCTTTAAGGGCACAAGTGAGCAAAAACTATTTTGAAACCGGAGTGTGGATTTGTCGAAGGGCAAGCTTTGGAGTTTCTCTAAGCTTTTGTCCATTCTCAGTTCTCATAATCTTTATTTTTGTTGCAATGCATCAACTTGCTCTTACCAAATAAATACATACTGAAAATCTTTGCAGGTACAGCTAGCCTGCAACTATGAAAACATTGCAGCTGGCAGTCCACATTAAGGCTTTTATAGCTTTGGTTGATGCTCCTAGCTCGCAGTGATCAAGTAAAAGAATAATTCCAAAGGCTTTTCCAACCCATAGCAAGGCAAAGCAGAGTGTTCCTTGAGGCATTAGATGACTGCCCCTTGATTCCATCCAAGTTCTTGAAAGAGATTTGTAGTCTATCACGGCATTGAACCAATGAGAGTTAGCTGGTAGTTGCCTCAAACTGACTACAGAGGGTAGGATACATGCTCCTAAACATTTGGTACATTTGTTTCTTTAATGAGTAGTTTGTGTATGGTATCCTGACACTAGGTGGCAGTATAACACCAACTAAAGTTTTAAATAATTGTTTTATGTTTAGGGAAATCCTGTTGGACAGAGTGGTCTGGGCATGGCTTATCTCTATGGCAGGGGAGTTCCTGTTGTAAGTATTGTTTTTGACCTGTCTCACCAATGTTCCGATTTATTTATTTGCTGTTGCATGACCTATTAAACCTTGAATGTGTGTACTATTTCTCTGCTAACAGGATATTTATAATTTCTCCTTTTACAGGACTATGACATGGCTTTGAAATATTTCCAGAAAGCAGCAGAACAGGGTTGGGTGGATGGTCAGCTTCAGCTTGGTTCCATGTACTACAGTAAGTGGCATGCTTGTCTGCTGCGGCAACAGACTTATTCTTTAGAACAACTTTATACCTTGTGAGGAACAACAGGGAGCTGCATCCTGAGTGAAGGCAGAGATTTATAAATGGCAACATGTTGGTTAATAAGCTGATGACCTCTCTGTGGCAGTTTGACAGTATTATATTAACTCTGTGTCCTGGATAAGTGGACAGTGGCTGGGAAAACCGGAAATATGACTACCCTGTATAACACAGAAAGCATGGCTGTAATCCAGTGAGGTCCGAGTGTATGTCTGTTTGGCTATATTACCTTTGTCGTATAAAGGATGTCATGACTATATAAACTTGGACTGTCCAATTTACAGATGGAGTTGGAGTGAAGAGAGATTACAAGCAAGCCCTTAAATATTTTAACCTGGCTTCCCAAGGTGGCCATATTTTGGCCTTCTACAATCTTGCACAGATGCATGCCACAGGGACTGGTGTGATGAGGTCCTGCCACACTGCAGTGGAGGTAAGTGGCCCTTTTTATAATTAACACATTACACTTGTCTGTTTTCTGCTAAGAATGTTTTTGCATTTGTCCATGTCAGAGTAGTAAATACACTTGCATGTAACAGTTTAGCCACAGTCCCTAATCCAAAACAAGAACTGCCTTTAAGTGAAATTATTCTGTAATCTCTGTCCAAACCATCTGCTCGTTGATGGTGTTTAAAATGGTTAAAATTCCTGAATATTAATAGATTTCATAGAATATTTCATAGTGAGACATGTTCAGATATTTATTTAAAGGGATACTATAGGTACCAAAACATATTTAGCTTAATGAAGCAGTTTGGGTGTATATATCATGCCCACTCACTGTTCAGTTCTCTGCCGTTTAGTTAAATCACTTTGTTTATACAAGCTTGCACATCCTTCCTACACACTTTTTTAAATTGCACATTCTCTTTACTTTAGAATGTATCTCCTGTTCTGTTATTACAATTCTAGACCCTGCAGGAGGCCCCCTGTGTATTAAATTTTCAGAGCAGGAGATAAAAACTGCTAAAGTAAGTTGAGATCTGATTAAAAATAAAACCATGCAGGCTTTATCAACCGCAGCTAGGGGAAGTTGTGGCTAGGGCTGCAGAAACAAACCTAATTTAACTCCTAATTGGCAGAAAAGTGAGCCGTGAGACTGCAGGAGTGTAACGGCACCCCCAGGCATAAAAGGGTTAAACCGCCGTTTAGTTTTAGGGTTGTTGTACTGGGACATTCGTTGCCCCAACTTTTAAATCCACGGAATGATGTCTACTGTAGCTGTCCATCTGGCTGTGGGAACGATCCCGCCACTTGCCACCAATTGTAAATGCACCCCCAGGCATAAAAGGGGTAACCGCCGTTTAGTAGATCTTCCCCTTCCAGAGACACAGGCACAGCTACTGCAGAACCCCAAACTCCCGAACAGGATACCAAGTAGCACTCCAAACTCCCGAACTGGAACCTCACGAATAGCTGCTAGCAGCTGAACAGAAAAAGCACTCCTGTCAATCAGTCTCTAACAGCATACAGTAAATCCCCCCCCAAAAAACGAGACAAAGCTCAGTGTTGAGGGTCAAGCAGTGAACAGACAGAGCTGTGGGTGTATTGTTTTTATATACACATTAGTACCACCCACAAGGTTTTGGAAAACAACCAATAAACACATACAATACACTCAGACACTCCCACGCAAAATCCGCCCCTCTGCCTCTGATACAATTACCTTACACAATGGGTAATGTAATTATCACCGGCAGAGAAATAGTTTTTCCACATTATTCATAACTTTAAAAGTATGCATTACATTTTAAGAATCAGCATACTCCAAATATGAACAGATGTCAAAATCATCCAAATTGGTCCAGTGGTTCAAAAGATAGATCAAAGTCCTTTGTGACCAAATGAAGCATGGCTTTTCTGCCCAAAACCAGTTCCACAGAGTCTTCTATCCTGGAGATAATTGGGAAGTAACCCAATTATCTCCAAAGACAGAGGCAAAACTCCATTAAGCACATGGCAGCAAAAGACAATAAAATACACACGGTTACATTTATGACATAAAATACAGACCTGCAACATATGCCCAGATAGCTTAGGTCTGAGCGCACATTAATACTGAATGGCGCTCAGACCACACACACATACAGTTCAATTACCATGGAGCCAAAGTCTTTTATTACACGAATAGGCTCCATGGCATAGCTATCTGGGTTATATGAGTTCATTCAGTAAATCCGAGAATCTACCGAACGCCAGGGCAGAAAACCTGAATAGACCTTTCTGCATAGGAAAATAAAGTCTTTAAATGCCGGTCCATAGTCAAAAGGCGGCAGGCAGGCAGGCAGCGAGGCTCCTCCAATGCATAGTGGCGAGATTGGTCTCGTCACAAGGAGCATGATTGATACACTAAAGTGGCTCTGTCATGACTGAATCCCGTTGTTTTTTGTTTTTTTTTTTTTAACCCCCTCCCGACTCCACTACATCTAACTGACCCCCTAGTCACCCCCAAACCCTCCATATTCTCTATTTTTTAACTTTATTTTCTGCCCCGATCTATATTCATGGCGCTGCCATCTTCGTGTGGGTAGATGAAGTCCCTGTGGGACACCTCATCTGCCCACACTAGATAGCACTATAAAAAGTTAAACACTTGGACATGCGAATGGGAATTTTATCTATTCATTCGTCAGAAAGACAAATGAATGAATGAATAGAAATTTCAGACGGACAAACAAACACTGTGTTCGTTTCTTCGTTCAGTTTATTACAAGGAGGGAGTTACTGGAGCGCAGCTCCCTCCTTGTAATATGTAAAGATAGAAGCGGCAGACAGCAGTGCTCCCTGCCACTTCCTAAGCCCCCCAGGTCCTCCCTCACTCTATGGGGGTCAATATGACCCCCATAATAGCATAAAATCTCCCGAATGCCCCTACTCGCTATACTGCGTATGGGTCCTACTAACCCTACTATCCAGCCCCACACCCCTGAGCGGTGGGGGGGGGAACCTATTGTCCTCACAAACCCCTGCGCGGCGGGTGGGGGCCCTAAATAACAATAAGGGGGGGAGGGAGACCTGGGGGGTGGGAGGCGGGGACCGCAGGGTGGGGGCCGGGGGGAGGACAGTAGGTCCCTCACATTTAGGGCTCCCAACCCTAAAGAGGCCGAGGGGGGCTCTAGCTCCCCCTTCCGTTTAATGTGTTGTTTTTTTATTTTTATTTACTAGACATGCCCCTACTCGCGGTATAGCAAGTAGGGGCTGAATTTACTAATACTAAGTAATCTTTACTTAGTATTAGAAAATGTGGCTGAAAGACCAATTAAGGGCTTTCAGCCTTTTCTAGTAAATAATAAAATAAAAAATACTGTGGGAATTATCTACTAAGAGGCTGCAAGGAATAGGATCGGAGTTTCATTCATTCGAATGAAACTCCGATCCGAACAAAGTGCCGAATTGCGTCCTGACACGAATGGAGAAACTGTTCTCATTCTGTTAGGATGCAATTCGGCAGTTTTGCCAGCGTTCTGTCTAGGTGACAGGACGTTTAGCAATACTGACAGGAAGCATCGCGGGAACTGGGAGGAAAGCTAAGAATTGAGGGAAAATGTATCTGACCACTGGAAACTAAGCACAGTTTGCTCCTCTGCTGGTCATGGTGTAGTAAACCTCCAGAAGGGAAATAGTCCCTACTTTGTCTTATGATTTAAAGAAAACTAGAGCAAACAGGAAGAAATGAAGAACAGATCCTGAGAGAGAGAAGAGGAATCGATTGGGGAAAGGTAAGTTCGGTATGACAGTGCCGCTTTAAGCCAGATATGTTTTGATACCTCTAGTGTTCCTTTTAAAGTTTAAATGTGTATGAATCACTGTTTTATTTAATTGCAAAAGGGGAAAAACATGCAGACCAAGCACATTCTCAAATGGATGTATCGAGGACTTCAACTTAGTACAAAATATTTTCAACTCTTGACTGCTCAGTTTAGAACCTTATTTAGATTAATAATAGTAGGAAACTGATATTTAGGTACAAATTACCCTGTAATAGGATTGCTAGTCTTAGAAGCATGATATTTAACTATACTGTAATTATATAAATATATACACTTTTTACAATATTTTAGATCAGATGGTCTGAAATAAAAAAATAAAAAATATTCCTCTTGTGGATGGAAGTAAACTTTACATTTAAAGATTAGTTGCAATTTATTTAGAAAGAGGTAGAAGTACTAAAAGTGCAGTCGGCATGGACATCGGTAGAATGTTGTGTTAATTGCTTTACTTTTAAGCATGGGCCCACAAAAGCAATTTAGTTTAGCTTTTCCAGACATAATATTCCAAACCATGACACTAATCGGTTTTTGTTTTTACAAAATTTAAACAGGTGAAATTTTATCTGTATACCATATACCAAAATAAACAAATAGCAACTCTTGTTGGAATAGTAACTTGTGCTCCAACTGCCTGTTAATTTGTGATGCGCTAGGGTAGAGGGAAAAAAAAAATGACGTTTATGTTAAAGGAATACTACAAGCACAATAAACACTACAGCGTGGTTTTGTGGTTATGGTGTCAGGAGTGCCCGAGCTATTACCATGTAAGCTCTCAAACCATTGTCTAGCAGTTTGCCTACATTTTACCTAGGGCCACTGGCACCAGCCCTGCCTCCTCACAGTTCGAAGCAAGAACCAAAAGCTCCTGGTAGGAGCTTCCATTAGCTGTCCTGAGTTAAGCCCTGCTGTGCCTGGCCAACTCATTGACTGACATTGTCATCTGATCTTTCTTATCCAGTGATCTAAGCCCTGCACTTGTTATAATTAGCTCAGAGCTGAGCGCTTCTGGCTGTGAAGCATTGAAGACTGGTGCCCAGTTGACTGCAGGTAAGCAGTCGGACTGGTGTAAAATTGTTTGACTACTTACATTGGGTGATGCCACAGCATTCCAGGCTTCATAAGCACTATAGCATGTGGTGGTTTTCATAAGTACTTTGAAAAATAACTTTTGCTACTCTAAATTTTAGTGGTGCTCTTCTGTTTTTATGTGCTGGTTCAGAATTTTCTCAGGTTTTAGAGGTGGTAGATAACTGAAGTCTTTATTAATTTTCCAAGCTCTTTAAGAATGTCTGTGAACGTGGACGCTGGTCGGAGAGGCTGATGACGGCTTACAACAGCTATAAGAATGGAAATGCCAATACTGCTGTTGTGCAATACTTACTACTAGCAGAGCAGGGGTACGAGGTGGCCCAAAGCAATGCAGCATTTATCCTGGATCAGAGTAAGGAACCAACCCTGTTTCTGGTTGAGGGAGGGGGGGGGGAGGGAGTGTGGGTGTTTTTTTTTTTTGGTTTTTTTTAAATAGACCTCACCTGGCAATAACCCTTATTGAATACATTGTTTGCAGGCTATTCACTAAATTTTGAAATGATTCAAATTGCAAAAATAATGGAGTTTAGCTAAAGGGACATTATAATTCCCAAAACAACTTTAGCTTAATGAAGCAGTTTTTATGTATAGATCATGCCTCTGAAGTTGCGATGCTCAGTTCACTGGCACTTAGAAGTTAAATTACTTTTGTTTCTGTTTATGCAGCCATAGACACCCCTCCCTGACTGTGACTGGCACAGCCTGCATGAAAATAAAATGGTTTCATTTTCAATCAGATGCAACGGCTTTATAAATGGAACTTTAATCACATACAGGAGGCACTGGCAGGGTCTAGCAAGCTATTAACAGAGCAGGATATAATAAATTCTAAATTAAACAGAATTTTCAATAAAGGAAGTGTTTAGGAAGGCTGTGCCAGTAACATTCAAGGAGGTGTGGCTAGGGCTGCATAACTAAAGTGATTTAACTCCTAAATGGCAGAGGAATCAGTGGTGAGACTGCAGATGCATCATTTATCCACCAAAACTGCTTCATTAAGCTAAATTTGTTTTGTATCCCTTTAATAGCAATATTGGTTTTAATGGTCAGCAAAAACAGTACATTTAGAGTTAAACCGCAATGTAACTTTTTTTACTTATCAACAATTTCTAACACTGTTGTTTTCCTTGCTATATTTTAAGGGACACCCAGAACCTTAAAGCACTTTAGCTTGCTGAAAAGCTTTGTGTAAAGAGTTTGTGCTGCTGCTTTTTTTTTTTTTTGCAAAACGTGCAGATTTTCATGGAAATTACACTTTTATAAATTAACCTGGTTATAGCACCCTGGATTTCAAGCACAAAACAGGTCCTGTTACTTCATAGTTTGGTTAACTCAGTTGAACTGATCACCTGCATTGCAAAGACTTCTCATTGAATTGCATTGGGAAGTCTGTGATTGGACAGCCACAGAAATTCTGGGCGGGGCTAATAAGGGAGGGCTTGCAAAGACAGCAGACAAGAGAAATGCAGGTTTTGTAAGCGCATCCCTTTTCAAGCCATGACCCCAATAAAAAAATAAATATATATATATATATATATATATATATATATATATATATATATATATATATATATATATATATATATATATATATATATATATATATATACATGCATGTTGTCCTTTGGGGTATATTTAGTAATCAGCTATTCATTTATTTTGTATTTGGCAGTGGAGTGTCCCTTTAATCAATAAATCCGTAGCACAGCTTTGATAAGGTATTTTTAGATCAAGATATCATGAAAAGTGTAGAGCTTTGCAGAACAATGTAACTGTGGCATATTGGGGTACACATGCTAACTGCCATTGTAAAAACACATTTGCATTGATAGTGTCCCACTTAACAGTAAATAAAGTTAAAGGACCACTATAGTGCCAGGAAAACATACTCGTTTTCCTGGCACTATAGTGCCCTGAGGGTCCCCCACCCTCAGGGACCCCCTCCCGCCCGGCTTTGGAAGGGGGAAAGGGTTAAAAACTTACCTTTTTCCAGCGCTGGGCGGGGAGCTCTCCTCCTCCTCTCCGCCTCCGATCCTCCCCGCCGGCTGAATGCGCACGCGCGGCAAGAGCTGCGCGCGCATTCAGCCCGTCGCATAGGAAAGCATTTACAATGCTTTCCTATGGACGCTTGCGTGCTCTCACTGTGAAAATCACAGTGAGAAGCACGCAAGCGCCTCTAGTGGCTGTCAATGAGACAGCCACTAGAGGATTAGTGGGAAGGCTTAACCCATTCATAATTATAGCAGTTTTTCTGAAACTGCTATAATTATGAAAAAATGGGTTAACCCTAGCTGGACCTGGCACCCAGACCACTTCATTAAGCTGAAGTGGTCTGAGTGCCTAGAGTGGTCCTTTAATAAGCTATCAGGTGATGAGTCATATTTTAAAATGTTAGGCAATTATAGAGCCTGAGTGTTTGAGAAACCTTTGGTTATTTTGATAGCTTATCTATGAGAACCAGCAGCCCTTTGCACATTGATATTTTGATAGGGGAGGGGAGTATTTCTCATAAACATTTTTCCTCTCCTAACTTGGAGAAGTAATGCAAATAACTTAATTTTTAGTTCCGTTCATCACATTTGTTCATAGAAATGTTAACATACTTGCTTCTCTTCTAGAATGATTCAGTAAACCAAAGGGAAACCAGGCATGTCTGTGTACAAATGTACAAATGATTCTGTATCCATGCCAGTGTCTTAGAAGCTTATCAGGTTCGGCTTTGTTGTTGAAGTCGGCAATACTGTTTAAAAGGACAATCTGCATAACAAACAAACACATCCGATAAAAAGATCTGCTTAGAGGTTTAATATCTGCACGTGCAATCTAGACTTTTAGTGTGTTGGGTAACAACCTATGCATGAGTACAGTTTCATACCCTTCATCTCTTTGCAGAAGAAGCTGGCGTCGTTGGTGAGAATGAGACACTTCCCAGGGCTTTGCTTCACTGGAACCGGGCAGCATCTCAAGGTCTGTGTTCACTTTATACCAGCTTAGAGAATCAGTAACCCCTAAAAGAAAAAGTATATTCTTCCAGTCAGTACATAAAAATATACAGCCATTGTACCATTCTTTTTGTAGAAAGTACTAAAGTAAAATGTAAAACAAACAGCTGATTTTTTTTTTTCTTTCCTCTTCCCTTCTCATTGTCTACAGCATTCTTGTGGACGTTAAAGGGTTATGCACAAAGGAATGAAAAAAAAGTTTCTCAAACCTATAATTCTTGATTAAAACGTAACATTTAATAAACCAGTTAAAGTAAATAAGTGTATATTCAAATTTATATGGGGTGATATAAGCAGCACCAGATAAAGTATTAATATGGGTAAAGAACTTGAGAAAAAAAATATGGTGGTGGGAGGGGGGGAATAAAACTATAAGGAATTATAGTGTCTATGGTTATTACATTTCACTTTGGTAAGCAGCCTTAGTATCATGGGTAGTACTTTAACTGAATTATTAAATGTTAAGTTTTACTTGACAGTTTTCATTCTTTTGTGCATTAATAACCCCTTTACTGCTCACTTAATGCTTCCCTAGCCTTTTGTGTTCATGTTAAAGGGTCAAACCCAATACCTTTTTTGGTTTCAGTCACCCCATTTCCAAATGCACAAATAAAATAAAGAATGTAAACTTATCCTTTTTCAATCGTGAAGGCCAAGTTCTCCCCTTAGTCTGATCTTGCTTGTCTGATATTTCTCCCTCACCAATGGAGAGAGCAGACTGAGGGTAGGACAGGGGCTGCAAAGGAGACATGCTGCCATTGGCTGTTTGATGCCAGATCCCAATTTTGCACATAATTGATATTTTCCAGCCAAGAACTCTAGTTCCTAGCTTTATAATGCCTCCTAATAACGCTGCAGTAGATGGAGTTACACAGATCAATCCCTGTACTGAAATGCAGCACATGCAGATTCCAGGCACTATGACCACTTCAAATCATTAAGTAATTATTTAAGCAGAAAATCAAGACATTGTTTAACAAACTGCCTGGGAAAATATAAAGTATACTATGTACCAACTTGTCATGGCAAAATAAGAGCGGAAATGCACACCTTGTATATTGTCATTACAAGTTGTAACAGAGTATTACAGTTTTCAGTTGTTTAAATACAGGTTGGATTTATTAAATATTGATCATATAGCTGTGATAAGGTGTAGGTGAGATGAACAAGGCAATGTTTCTTATTATCTGTGTAGTGCAATTGTCTAATAACTGGAATGTATATTGTTTAGGATACACTATGGCAAGAATCAAGCTAGGGGATTACCATTTCTATGGCTATGGGACAGATGTGGACTATGAAACTGCATTTATTCACTATCGCCTGGCATCTGAGCAACAACACAGTGCGCAAGCCATGTTTAACCTGGGATACATGCATGAAAGGGGACTGGGCATCAAGCAGGTAAACACATGTTGGCTTAGTACTAACCAACAAAAGGTTAAATATGGGGATACATGTATTAGGTATCGATGGGCATCAATCAGGTCAGTGCATAGGATTATCAATACTTCTTTACAATCATTGATTACATAATCTTAGAGCTACGCTTTTTTCCCCCCCTCCTCCTCAAAGTTTTCTTTTTCAGACAAATGCCATCAAAACACAATGTTCCTACTCCCTCTGTTATGGAAATAACAAAACTTATACAAGTTACGATATGTTGATTTCTATAGAATTTGTGATACCTAGGAAATAATAATCAGAGCAATAATAATCAGAGCTCTGAAAACTGTGTTCATATGGGTTGCAAAAAGATTTACTGCATAACCCAGCCAATAACAAAGTTAATGTGCATGTGTAGGATTGAGAAGCAGGTTTTGACCAGAGCTGAAGGAAAAACATTAATGTGCCTGATAGGCACATCTTAATTATTCAAAAATTGCTTACCTATAATATATGCATTTCTTAATATTACAGTCACTGGAAAGTAAATATAGTTTATAACTGAAGCAGCAAGGGTTGATTTTTACTGTTGGCCACAGAGGCTTTTCCCCTAAAGTCACTGAATGTTGACATTGTGCTTGCAAGACTTTGTGGTGCTTGTCTCTGACTCCTTTTACTCACCAGATTTGAGGTCAGAAATTTTTTTTTTTAAATGTTCTGACTGAATATTCTTTTAACAGGATATCCACCTTGCCAAACGATTCTATGATATGGCTGCTGAAGCCAGTCCTGATGCGCAGGTACCAGTCTTCCTCGCTCTGTGTAAACTAGGCATCCTGTATGCACTTCAATATCTGAAAGAACTAAACGTAAGTCTGATATAGAGGCTATATGTAGGGTTACAGCTGGTGTCTCTGGCTCTTTCACAATATTTTTAGTGTTACAGCTAGTTCGTTCCTAGTTCGTTTTTTTTTTTTTTTTTTATATATAAACACACACAGCATTTAACATATTAAACTCTTGAGATACTGAAAGTGTTTTGCAGTTCATTGAAAATGTAACATTCTTTATATATGAAATGGATGAAAGATGGGCAATATGTCAATTATATTATGTTTCAGGGACAGTCCTTCTGGGATAAGAAGGTGCTAAACAGTATTTAAAGGTGTGGCATCGTAGTAAACTTACACAAAAAAATATCCACTTATTCTCCAACTATTATACATTAAAGTTTGAATCTTCAAAACATGTTGTAGATTGATATAGCCAGCTTCAGTGGGCAATATGTTTTTGTGTCTTTCATCAGATCTTTTAATCTGATTTTGTGTTCTTTCTCCTGTCAGGTTAAGGAAATGTTCTCCCAAGTAGACATGGACCAGTTACTGGGGCCAGAATGGGACTTGTATCTCATGACTATTATTGCTCTGCTACTTGGGACAGTCATAGCTTATCGGCAAAGGCAACCACAGGTTGTACCGAGACCCCCACCACCTCCTCAACGACCTGTACCACAAGACCCAGAAGCACAAGAACACCCCCAGCAGCCACAGGATGCTCAGCAACTGCAGTGATGGCATGTGGCTTTTTGAAACATTACGTGACTTTCTCAAAGGCTTCCAGGGAACCAGATCTGGCTTTGTCCAGCATTTTTTCCAGAACGATTCATAACCACTTAGTCCTGCTAAGTGACTTCTGAAACTAAGCACGAATTTTTTTTTTTACATTTTTTTTTTTTTAAATAAAATTTTCTTTAATTTACTATCCATGTATCTGAACACAGTGTGTAAGGGACTCCATTATTTATAAAAAGACTTTTGGTGTTTGCTTACAGCAACCAACCATTACTGAGAAAAATGTCTCACTGTAAATTTCCAGGCAGGATATTCTTTTCCCCCTATATGATGGGTGAAATGTAGATTTTTTTTCAACAGAGCGTAAAATGTGAATGGCCCTGTATTACATTGGCTTCTCACCTCTTACTGTAAGTTCCGTTATTTTCACTATACTATTTATTGAAAAGCACATGAAGGGCATTCATGTGTGCATAAATGAAAATTCTCTAGTTTGCATCCTTCAACATAATCATAAATTGTAAGTTCCCCCAACTGATTTGGAATATAAAACTTTCATATAGTTGCAGTTCTGGTTTTATTAATTTCCCAGTAAAGGAAGAATTTTACTTTGCTTGGCTTTCAGTTACAGAGTTGCTAACCCCGTAATTATTGGATGTTTCAGCAGCATGTTTGTTTCTGAGCCAAATTAATTCTGAAAACACTGATAGTAGGCCATGTCAGAGCAAGACCACCGGATACATTTCACAATATAGATGCTACAAGCAATGGGCAGGTGTGTCACCTTGTGTTTAGTTTAATACAGAAAACAAAGTGTTTCCTTTGGAGCAGAATGAACTATAATTTTTGTTTTGAGAAAGGGAGTTGTGCACTACAGTGATTCATTCTCTTACACAGACCTGTTCAATGCTAAATATGCCACGTTGCACCCTGGCATGGAAGACTTGACTCCTAGGAACATCTGTGGGTATCATGCGTGGACCTCCTAGCTTAAGGGAGAACTGTTTTTATAGATAATTTGGGGTGGGGGGGATACAGTATGGGATGGCAGGGAGTCAGCAGAAAATGTAAATTATGACCTCGGCTTGTGAGTTTTATTTAAGTAATAAAATATGAAAAATGAAACAAGACTGTTCTCTGGTTATTTTTAGACTCAAACGCTGTACCTCAATCATAAGTTTAATAAAGCTCCAGGGGCCTGACTGTATTCACCCACGAGTACTTAAGGAGCTAAGTGGGGAAATAAGTGAACCTCTGTATTTAATCTTTCAAGATTATTTTGTTGCAGGTATTGTACCAGAGTATAAGCATAAGGCTAAATGGGCCGAATGGTTCTTATCTGCCGTCACATTCTATGTTTCTAGTATTGGAGGAAGGCAGTTGTCGTTCCTGTATTTAAAAAGGGTTCTAAATCCTTGCCTGGAAATTATAGACCTGTGAGCTTAACTTCTGTGACTGGGAAAATATTTGAAGAACTATTAAGGGATAATATTCAGGAATTAATTGGGAAGAACTTTGTTATTAGCAATAATCCACATGCTTTCATGAAACATAGGTCATATCAAACTAACCTAATTGCATTCTACCAAGAAGTAGAAGTATAGATCATGGTGTTGCAGTGGATGTGATCTACTTGGATTTTGCCAAGGCATTTGATACGGTTCCTCACAATAGGCTAGTCTTCAAACTAAAAGAAATTGGTCTAGATGAATATTATTTGTTCTTGATTAGAACATTGGCTTAAGGTTAGATTTCAACGAGTTGTCATTAATGGTAAATTTTAAGGCTGGACAAAAGTGGTAAGTGGTGTCCCTCAGGGTTGTGTTTTGGGACCACTTCTATTTCACATTTATAAATGATCTTGAAATGGGCATCGAAAGCCATGTTTCAGTGTTTGATGCAGATGACACAACTTTGTAAAGTAATAAAATGGGAGCAGGATATTGTTTTGCTGCAGAGGGATATAGATAGATTGGGGGACTGGGCACTAAAATGGCAGATGAAATTTAAAGGAACACTCCAGGCACCCAGACCACTTCTGCCCATTGGAGTGGTCTGGGTGCCAACTCCCACTACCCTTAAAGGAACACTATAGTTACCTAAATTACTTTAGCTAAATAAAGCAGTTTTAGTGTATAGATCATTCCCCTGCAATTTCACTGCTTAATTCACTGTAATTTAGGAGTTAAATATTATGATTGACCGAGCCTGCATGGAAAAAAAAACAAAAACTGGTTTCACTTTCAAACAGATGTACTTTACCTTAAATAATTGTATCTCAATCTCTAAATTTAACTTTAATCACATACAGGAGGCTCTTGCAGGTTCTAGCAAGCTGTTAACATAGCAGGGGATAAGAAAATCTTAACCCCTTAAGACCGGAGGGCGTACTATTACGCCCTATTTTAGGCATCTCTAAACGCCGCCGGGCGTAATAGTACGCCCTCCGGTCTTTACTTACCCAGTCGCCGGCGATCGCGGTTGGGGGGGGACTCCCAGGGAGCCCCCCGCGGCACGTCTGACACCCTGGCAGCCCCCCCGGCCATGTGAGAGTGAGGTCCTTGCGAGGACCTCTCAATCACATGGCTGGAATAGCTGGCTGCTGTATTGCCAGCAGGTGGGCTGCCTGTAATGACAGGTAGTCCCCCTTCTGGCTGGAAATAAAATGTAAAAAAAAGTTGTGTAAAAAAAAAATTTATATATATATATATATATATATATATCAAAAAGGAAAGAGATACACTCTCAGGTCTTTGTAAAAAAACCTCTATTATTTAATAACAGGTAACATACATCTGATCGACGTTTCGACCTCTTCAGGTCTTCCTAGACAGTGTGTGTGTGTGTGTGTGTGTGTGTGTGTGTATATAATATACATTGAGACCCTATGGTAGCCCAAGAATGAAAATTACTCCTATCATGGCATACCATTTGCAATAGTAGACAACCCAAGGTATTGCAAACGGGGTATGTCCAGTCTTTTTTAGTAGCCACTTAGTCAAAAACACTGGCCAAAATTGGCGTTTTTTGCATTTTTCACACACAAACAAATACTAATGCTAACTTTGGCCAGTGTTTGTGACCAAATGGCTACTAAAAAAGACTGGACATACCCCATTTGCAATACCTTGGGTTGTCTACTATTGCAAATGGTATGCCATTATGGGTGTAAATTTCATTCCTGGGCTACTATACAGTCTCAAAGGCAACGTAACCAATCTGGCGAATTTCAATTTCAAATGTAACGTGCTATATTTGACCCTGTAACTTCCCAAAACACCATAAAACCTGTACACAGGGGGTACTGTTTTACACGTGAGACTTTGCTGAATACAAATATGTGTATTATATTGCAGTAAAAGCAAACAGTATTATGACATTGACAGTTAAAATGTCATGTAGAACTAAAAAAATTTAAAAAAATATATCATTTTCTCCCTTGTTTTTTATATTAAATTATGTTTCATAGCTAAATATTTGATATTAAATGAAAGCCATGTTTTCCCTGAATAAAATGATATATAATAAGGGTGGGTGCATTTAATATGAAAGAGGTGAATTACAGTTGGACAGACATGTAGCGCAAATGCCAGGTTTTGTTTACATTTTGTTTCGTTCACAACGTGTACATTTGGCTCAGTCCTTAAGGGGTTAATTAAACAGAACTTGCCATAAAGAAAGCCTAAATAGGGTTCTCTTTACAGGAAGTGTTTATGGAAGGCTGTGCAAGTCACATGCAGGGAGGTGTGACTAGGGTTCATAAACAAAGGGATTTAACTCCTAAATGGCAGAGGATTGAGCGGTGAGGCTGCAGGGGCATGTTCTATACACCAAAACTGCTTCATTAAGATAAAGTTGTTAAGGTGACTATAGTGTCCCTTTAACCCTACAAGTGTAATTATTGCACTTTTCATAAACTGCAATATTTACCTTGCAGAGTTAAGGCCTCCTCTAGTGGCTGTCTACTAGACAGGCACTAGAGGACACTTCCGTGTTCATAGAACATGAAAAGTGTGCTAACGACTCTGGACTTCCTCACACTATGTGAGGACCGCCGGCGTTGCAGATATCCCCATAGGAAAGCATTATTCAATGCTTTCCTATGGGGAGGTCTAGTGTGCGGGATTGCCACACATGCGCATTAGGCCTTGCCGGCCGCGCATGTTCAATAGGTCTCCCACGTCGGCGGGGGAGAAGCGTGGACGGACCCTGACCCAGCCCCAAGGGACATCTGCGCTGTATACAGGTAAGTCACTGAAGGGGTTTAAAATGGCATGGTGGTGGGAGGTAGAGGGAACTGGAGAGTCCCTTTAATGTAGAGACTCTCTACATTAAACCCCCCCCACAGCACTCCAAACACCACACTGCACCCCAGACACACACACACACTACATCCCTTACACACACACACACACACACACCCTAGATCCCATACATAACTATGAATCCTCCACATACACACACTAGAATCCCTATGCACAGTCTGAATACTCTACACACACACCCACACCAGGGCCAGATTAAGAGCCCAGTGGGCCTGGTGCTGACAATTATGATGGGGCCTAATTACAGAATCTTATCGACCAAAAATACTAAAACAGTCATACCTCTCAAGCGTCATGTATCTGATGGAGTTGGTGTTGGAGGGAAACTAAAAGGATGCAGCTATAAGAAAACACATACTCTATGCTAATCTCTTTATCTAATTTATGCTTTCATCTTTCAAACAAATCCATACCCCCTAACAGCAGTGTCCAGTGAAGCAGGAAGCCAATGGGCGAGTTAAAAGGGTGGGCCACTGACGCGAATTACATGACCAGAACAGCCAAAAGGGGTGAACATGCCCAAAAAGGGGGCATGTCTGTCCAAAGAATTGGAAGGCCACCCTGGCATCCGTGTCCCTATGTATCACAGTGTCAGTGTCCCCATGTCGCCCAGTCCCCTAGTCTCCCAATGTCTGTGTCCCCATTTCTCCCAGTGTCCCCATGTCATTAGGATACTAGTGGACACAGAGACATGGGGACACTGGGAGTGATGGGGGCACTGAGACACTTGGGGACACTGGGAGAAATGGGGTCACAGACACTAGGGACACAGAGACATGGGGACACAGAAGCTGGGAGACACAGGGACAGACATTTGGGGAAACAGACACAAGGGACACAGAGGCATGGCAACACAGACACTGGGAGACTAGGAGACACTGGGAGACATGGGGACACAGACACTGGGGACACTGGCTGGGAGGCATGGAGACAGACGCTTGGGGACACTGGGAGACATGGAGGCACTTGTGGACATAGACATGAGGACACTGGGAGATATGGGGACACATACATTTGGGGACACTGGGAGACATGGGGACACTAGAGACACAGAGACATGGGGACACAGACACTAGAAACACTGGCTGGGAGACATAGGGACACTGAGACACTGGCTGGGAGACATAAGGACACAGACACTGGCTGGGAGACATGGGGACACAGACACTGGCTGGGAGACATGGGGACACTGGGAGCCATGGGGACACTAAGACACTAGGGACACTGGCTGGGAGACATGGGGACACTGGGAGAGATGGAGACACTGTGTCCCTAGTGTCTCCCTATGTCTTACAGCGTCCCCATGTGTCTCAGCGTCCCCTAGTGTTTCCCAGTGTCCCCAAGTGTCTCAGTGACCCATGTCTCCCCTAGTGTCTCAGTGTCCCTGTTGCCATTCCCCCCATCCTTCACATACCTGAACTATAGTCTGTCTCTGCAGTCTGGGAGCTGCTGACTGGACTCTCTGTGCTGTGTAGCTGCTCCCCCGCAGATCAGTGAGTAGAGAGAGGCAGGGAGATGCTGTAACTTCCTATCCCTGCCTCTCTCCATACACAGTGACCCCTACTGGCTTGTGCTGGTATTGCAGAGTAATCTCCATTTACACTGAGAAAAATATTTGCATTTTTATTTCCGGTAATACTGCAATACCGTCACGGCCAGGCAGCCTCAAATACCGTCTGTGCCTTAAAATACCAGTCAGGTGGCAAACATAAGAGCAGTGTGTTAAAAAAAAATATATATTTTTTTTTTTTCCTTCAACGGGCCTATTCCATGGGCCTGGGCCTGGGCCTGGGCCTGGGGCTG